AGGGTTTACTGTTTCTCCCTGCTTTGCCTTGCCCAGTATAAATTAAAAATGTATGTCTCTGAAATGAAACTATTTAAAAAAAAACTTTTTTTCAGTTATCTTTACTTATAAAACAACACGAAGGCTCCATGGTACAATTTGTATTCCCAATATGTCGTTTTTCCAATTCGGAAATGTACTTGGCTAATAATCTCTGTGGATGAGTGTGTGGAAGTTTAACATATACATGTCCAATGTCAGGAACATGTTTCTAGACCCAGTATTAACTGTGTAGTATATCAGTAATACAAGACAAGGTTGTGACTGTTCAGGTGGGCCCCCTCTTCCATCATACAAGTGTAATGTACCCCCATTCCTCCACAACTCACCAAACACCCCCTTCTCCTCTCAGATGAGGCAATTATCTAATCTCCAAGGAGGACTTGTCTGCAGCCTCATCTAGCTTCGGAAGGCAACTAATTCCCAATAGAACAACCCCACATACAGCAACCTGTTAAGGAGGAATTGTCTGGCATGCATGTTGGTTTGTAGTGGCGTCCAGGTATGGGTTCTGGTCATGATTTTGATGCAGGTACACTTAGGGTCTGCGAATAGAATGCTTACAGTAGGATTCTAGTGGCTTTGAAAGGAAACCTTGAACATATATAAGGATGTTTTGAAATACCATTTGATTTTTCAATATGGCTGCTTTGTTCTTGGTCCCATCTATCATGCTCTGCACATCGTCCTTGATTCTGTGGATTGTGGGATGGAGATTAACCTGGCCTCACTCACTCACTCACTCACTCACTCACTCACTCACTCACTCACTCACTCACTCACTCACTCACACACTCACTCACTCACACACTCACTCACTCACCCACCCACTCACTCACTCACTCACTCTCACCCATCCACTCACTCACTCACCCAAACTCACTCACTCACTCACTCACTCACTCACTCACTCACTCGCTCACTCGCTCACTCGCTCACTCGCTCACTCACTGTTAATCAATGGATGGTTAGATTCCAGTACAGAAGAGTCATTCAATTTCTGTGGTACGGAGTAAGAAATGACTAATTGGTGAGCCGATAACATTGGCGTTAGAAATTGCCATTTTGTCTCCATTATCTACAGCGTCCTCCTCTGCCTTGATGAAGGGTGAAGAGATTCCATTGCTGATGAATTAGGATTAATTTATGTTTACACAGCGATACTAATTCATATCAGTTACAGAACGTGTCATAATATTTCCATTGGTATCATTACAATCACCGAATTGCACTTTTTTATCTTTGACACTCTCTCTCAATCGGCCATAGTGTCTATCATATTTTGTCAGGTCAGACGTCAGAGCATATGTACATTTGCCGATGGATAACGCTATGGGTAATTTTCAGATGTTTACCATAGTTTGTTTATGTTGCTGTAAAAGAGAAGATGCCATTTTGTTGTAAATTATGAAGTGCTTGAGAATTACACCAGTTAGTTGTAAATACATCAGCTTATCCTTGCTGTCATTGTGTATATTGCCAACATTAATCATACAAAAATATCTGTGACCTTTATGATTAAGTATGCCAAGGTCATGCTACAAGGTCATTTGGGGTTATGAACCTAAATTATGGATATTAAAGCGTGTGTGGTTTGCTCCCATTCCATCATAAATTGTGAAAAATGTGAATATAATTGTCACAATATTTATCTATTATGTAGAAATAGGCCATTTACCTCTCATGATGAGGCCACATGGGATCGCACGTTATCAGCGTTCGATGGGGTTTAGTGATTATCAGATGCTTTCATCATGTGATAAAAAACAATTAATGAGGATGCTGAGGTTGTTGCCGCTTGTATCTTGCCTTGGTTGGTAATGAATGATGACACGTGGGAGTTTCTCACCATCGGATAGCTAGTTCAGTAGACATGTTCATTTCAAGGTCATATTACAAAATGCAAGTGTTAACATCGTGTGGTCTGAAAAGCTAATTGCTTTTCAACGTGGGTGGTTTTCTGAATTATTAATCATATTTTTATTTGATATATCATGCAATTTTCTGAAGCACAGGGTCTGGGGTATTCATTATATATTTTTTAGCATTATTTTCAAGCTCATTTGTAAAACATTGTTATTATACAGAATGATTGTAAAGATTTTGAATTTTTCAGTTCAGGTTGTTTGCTAAGCTTTAACTGATTACTTCGTTAGATGTGGATATTATTGTGATAATTCTTTATCTTTGATGGATTTTGAGGTATTTTCTAAGCAGTTTTATAGCATAATCATATGGATTTTATTTGTGATGGTGTATTCTGACACCTAACACCTGACTTGTGTCAGTCCCTCATGTGTTCATGTGTTACTTGATGTAGCATTTATGTGCACCCCATTTTATTCAAGATCGTGGATCCTTATCTTCATCCCTAATTGATGCATAGTGTTGTGTTGTATACATGGTCTATTATTAACATTATTATTTGAATAAAACGCAATGAAAATAATTGACATAAGAACATGACTAACGGGATCGGGTGGTCAGGCTCCCGACTTGGTTGATGCATGTCATCGTATCCATCAATTAGCTGGAATATTACTGAGTGTGGTGTTAAACTACAAACAAAACAAACAAACTCAGGACCCATCTACTGACATAGCGTATTTTGACTCCGTTTGGAATAGAGCAATGCTATGTGTAACAATCAAATCAAATTATACTCCCAAGAGCAGGCAAAGTTCTGTGCTCAGTTATGATAGAGGAATGGAGGTGATGACGTCACTTCCGAAATGAGACCCGTGAAGATCCGGGGAAGAATAGGTCTTCAGCAACCCATGCTTGCCGTAAAAGGAGACTATGCTTGTCATGGTGTGACACTTTAACCACAAGTCTTCAGCAACCCATGCTTGCCGTAAAAGGAGACTAACGGGATCGGGTGGTCAGGCTCGCTGACTTGGTTGATGCATGTCATCACCATCCAATTGCATGGATCAATGCTCATGATGTCAATCACTCGAATGTCTGGTCCAGACTTGATTATTTACAGACCGCTGTCATATAGCTAGAATATTGCTAAGTGCAACGTTAAACAACAAACAAACAAAAAAACTTCCGAAATGAGGCTATGGTGAGAAATAGGGATATTTATCATAATACAATGGAGATCTGGGTGCCGTTGTACAAAAAAAACATAGTGCTACAGCTGTCGTAAGTCTATGTTAAGGTATTAGAGTTACGATCATCTTAGTGCTAAGATTGCTTTGTACAATGGCGCCATGATACTCTGGATAAAAGAGGTTCCTTACAAACATCAAACTAATTCATAAAAGAATTCAAATGAGGGCAACAAGAAATATCTTGAACATACAAGAAAACAGGGAACACCCTATGTAACGTACACCAAGACTTTTTTCTGTTTTCATGTTTACATAACCCTGTCCTGAATCTTGTGTCTCTATTGTCTGAAGAATACCTGCTGGTGGTAATTAGCGCTGTTGGTTACATTTTCGAGAATGTTGTTTTGGAACTTTGAACTGGATCCATTGCTATCCCATCATGTATGATTGTCTTGTCTTTCGAGTTGATGCAGAACAGATTTCTCCCCTGGTGTTCTTCAAACAAGGGGGTGGAGATTAATCCCAAGCAGCGTTCCTGGTTTAATGGAATTGGTGTTTGGTTGATTCTAAATATTCAGCTGTGGTTATCACAAGTACTTTGTTATAGGAAAGTCACTCGAAGCCTGAAGTCCTATCTCTTTTCATGTTCTGTCTTGATGTTATAATAATTTCAACTTCGAGCTCACATAACATAAACATAACATAAACTATGGCTGTTATTTAAACTATACCTCTTACATAAAATATGCCTGTAAGATAAACTATACCAGTTACATAAACTATACCTGTTACATAAACTATACCTGTACCATAAACTATACCTGTTACATAAACTATACCTGTAAGATAAACTATACCAGTTACATAAACTATACCTGTAACATAAACTATACCTGTTACATAAACTATACCTGTAACATAAACTATACCTGTTACATTAACTATGGCTGTTACATAAACTATACCAGTTACATAAACTATACCTGTAACATAAACTATACCTGTTACGTAAACTATACCTGTAACATAAACTATACCTGTTACATTAACTATGGCTGTTACATAAACTATACCTGTAACATAAACTATACCTGTTACATAAACTATACCTGTTACGTAAACTATACCTGTTACATAAAATATGCCTGTAAGATAAGCTATACCTGTTACATAAACTATGGCTGTAACATAAACTATGGCTGTTACAAAAACTATATCCATGTTGCATAAACTATATCCGTTACATAAACTTTACTGGTAACATAAACTATGGCTGTAACAAAAACTATACATGTTGCATAAACTCTACCTTAGACATAAACTATACCTGTAACATAAGCTATGGATGTAACAGAAACTATGGATATAATATGAACTATCGCTGCAACATAAACTATACAAGTTACATAAACTATACATGTTACATAAACTATACCTGTTACTTAAACTCTACCTCAGACCCAAACTATACCTGTAACGTAAACTATGCCTGTGGCATAAAGTCTACCTGAAACATAAACTCGGGGCATGGGCGGCCCAGTCATCTAAGGTGCCACTATTCGCTGTGCAGAGTTGTGTCCCTTGGGCAAGCCAGAAACCTTATGATTGTGGGTTCGAATCCCTGTTCGCCCCGATTATGTTTCTAGGTTTGTCAGCACCATACCCGTGCTTGTGGGTTTCACCGAAGTGGTAAACGTCTCAGACCTACATCAATTCAGACTTTCCTCCCACATTATGCTGACACGCCGTGATATAACTGGAATAATGTTAAAAAATTGGCGTTAAACCCTACTCACTATAACATAAACTATACCTGTAGCATAAGCTATACTTCATAAACAATACCTGTTACATAACCTGTGTCTGTAACATTAACTGATGTATGTTGTGTTAACTTTGCAGTGTTCCGCCACCTGTGGTTCTGGCCAGAGACAGAGAGTGGTGGTGTGTGTTGACCAGACCAACACCACTCAGCCCACCTCGACCTGCAGCAAGAAGATGCCCCGCAACACCAAGCGATGTGCCCGAGGTCATTGTCCCCACTGGAACAAGGGTCGATGGAGCAAGGTCAGTGATTCACAACTCTCACTAACCCCTGGAGGGAAATGGTTGAAAAATAGATCCCCACTACACCATGTTGCCTGAATTGAGGATTGGTTGGTCACAATCTTACCAGGATGCCTATGTGGTAGCTCAGCAGGGTAGCTGCTCATGCCGTCAACCACAGACTCAATTATTTATAGGCTATCGCGGAGTAGCTGGAATACTGCATCACTTGTTTACAACTGCATCACTAGCTAGTTTACATCTGGATCACTAGTTTACAACTGCATCGCTAGTTTATGTCTGCATCACTTGTTAGTTTACATCTGGATAACTAGTTTACATCTGCATCACTAGTTTACATCTGCATCGCTAGTTTACACATGCATCACTAGTTTACACATGCATCACTAGTTAACACATGCATCACTAGTTAAAACATGCATCACTAGTTTACACATGCATCACTAGTTTACACATGCATCACTAGTTTACACATGCGTCACTAGTTAAAACATGCATCACTAGTTACACATGCATCACTAGTTACACATGCATCCCTAGTTTACACATGCATCACTAGTTAAAACATGCATCACTAGTTACACATGCATCACTTAGTTACATCTGCATCACTAGTTTACACATGCATCACTAGTTTACACATGCATCACTAGTTTACATCTGCATCACTAGTTTACACATGCATCCCTAGTTTACACATGCATCACTAGTTAACACATGCATCACTAGTTAAAACATGCATCACTAGTTTACACATGCATCACTAGTTAAAACATGCATCCCTAGTTTACACATGCGTCACTAGTTAAAACATGCATCACTAGCTACACATGCATCCCTAGTTTACACATGCATCACTAGTTAAAACATGCATCATTAGTTACACATGCATCACTAGTTACACATGCATCCCTAGTTTACACATGCATCACTAGTTAAAACATGCATCACTAGTTACACATGCATCACTTATTTACATCTGCATCACTAGTTTACATCTGCATCACAAGTTTACACATGCATCACTAGTTTACACATGCATCACTAGTTTACACATGCATCACTAGTTTACACATGCATCACTAGTTTACACATGCATCACTTATTTACATCTGCATCACTAGTTTACATCTGCATCACTAGTTTACACATGCATCCCTAGTTAACACATGCATCACTAGTTTACACATGCATCACTAGTTACACATGCATCCCTAGTTTACACATGCATCACTAGTTAAAACATGCATCACTAGTTACACATGCATCACTAGTTACACATGCATCCCTAGTTTACACATGCATCACTAGTTACACATGCATCACTAGTTACACATGCATCACTAGTTACACATGCATCCCTAGTTTACACATGCATCACTAGTTTACACATGCATCACTTATTTACATCTGCATCACTAGTTTACATCTGCATCACTAGTTTACATCTGCATCACTAGTTTACACATGCATCACTAGTTTACACATGCATCACTAGTTTACACATGCATCACTAGTTTACACATGCATCACTAGTTTACATCTGCATCACTAGTTTAAACATGCATCCCTAGTTAACACATGCATCCTTAGTTTACACATGCATCACTAGTTTACACATGCATCACTAGTTTACACATGCATCACTAGTTTACACATGCATCACTAGTTTACACATGCATCACTAGTTTACACATGCATCACTTGTTAACACATGCATCACTAGTTTACACATGCATCACTAGTTTACACATGCATCACTAGTTTACATCTGCATCGCTAGTTTACACATGCATCACTAGTTTACACATGCATCACTAGTTTACACATGCATCACTAGTTTACACATGCATCACTTGTTAACACATGCATCACTAGTTTACACATGCAGCAAGATGTGTGGAAGGATCTACCTCCCTACAGAATGCTGTACATGTACATGTAATCATTAGAAGAGACATCAGTGAATAAAGAAAGTCCTCATCTTGTAGCCATTAATCACTGCCTCAGGAGGTGAGAACTTTCAAAATTAAAGAGCTCACATAAGCACTTTGGATGGAAGGTAATCTCAGGTACACCTGAGTGCAGTGTCAAAATAGATAACTCTGTCCTTAAATATGTATATTCATAGGAGACTCTCTGCAGACCTGTTATCAGGTTATACCAGTTCAGAGTTGTAGAGATCATGTACTATATCACAGAGAATGTGGGACTGTTTTGGGGTTGAAGACAGTTGTGATCACAGATACAAACACCTGACAACCCTGTGCCTGGGATAGTTGGATCCCACCATGTTCTTATCTCCCCTCAAGTGAAAGGCTGAGATGCTAATGAGAAATAAATGTTGCTGTTTATCAGCTTCAAGCTACCATGTACTGCAGGACTAGTCTGCCTGCAGCTTCAATGCATAGTGCTCCATCACCTTAAAGCAAAGAGTTTTCAAATCAGTATTTGCCTATCATGGATTATACATACCGTATTCGACGTAAAAAGTGAAGTTTAAATCTTAAAAGAAAAGTTAGATGCAGGACTGGCTAAGGTTAAACATTTTAGGTTTGAGATGCAGGATTGACTGGAGGTTAAAAATGTTTAATGTAGGATTGACTGAGGTTAAAACATTTCGATGCAGAATTGACTAAGGTAACAAAGATTTGATGCAGGATTGACTGGAGCTTACAAAGGTTTGATGCAGGATTGACTGAGATTAAAAACATTTGATGCAGGATTGACCAAGGTTTGAAAAAGTTTGATGCAGAATTGACTGAGGTTAAAACAGTTTGATGTAGAATTGAATGAGGTTAAAACAGTTTGATGCAGAATTGACTTAGGTAACAAAGATTTGATGCAGGATTGACTGGAGCCTACACAGGTTTGATGCAGGATTGACTGAGATTAAAAACGATTGATGCAGGATTGACCAAGGTTTGAAAGGTTTGATGCAGAATTGACTGAGGTTAAAAAGGTTTTGAAATGCAGGATTGACTGGAGGTTGGAAGGTTTGATGCAGGATTGACTGAAACTGAAAAGATTTAATGCAGATTTGACTGGAGAAAATATGTTGTATACAATGATTGTTGTTTGGTTTATGGTTCATTGCTTGAATGAAGGCAAGCAAACTGAAAATGTTCATGCATGTTATATTTTCCACCTTGGAATGGTATACATGTATAAACAGAACTGCCAACACTTAGGGACATAATGTATATACCCATCATTACTTGTCATTAGATAAACTATCTTCAGTGGATTGCATCAAAAGTCAAATTGATCTTCTACAAAGTTGGGCAGTTCTATTTATGTTTGTGGTTGTGCGTCAATCCATGCCGTCAGTTCCTGGTATTCCAGACATCGGTCTATTCTGGCTTTTTGGTGGTGGCGGCGGCAGCGAGGTGTAACAGGTGTGATGGGGATCATCCCTCCTCCTCTGGGATGGTGTACCTCACTCTCAAGACAAATTCATCATGATTCCAATGCAATTATTTCGGTTAAAAAGAAATCAAGTAAATCACATTTTCTTTCTTTCTTTCTTGATAGATATTTCCTTTTCTGAATTTAATCCGTAAATTTATCTGCAAGCTTCCGACAATTTCTTTCAAATATAATTACCTTGTGTCTACCTGTGGACAAAAAGTGATTTTATTTCCAGAACCCAATGTCAGAGAATATCACAAGATGTTTGGTAGACAGCTAGCTTTACTAAAGTCGGTCAAATTACATCTTCCTGAGGCAAGGGTGTTAACTGACTATTAAAGTCAAGTTTTTACACTTGCAGAACTAGACTGGAATTCTGGAGTTATATTTTAGCTGGACTAACGAGTCTATGCATAGTCCAATCAAATTTGCATAACAAACTAGACATCCGGTTCGTAAACAACATGGATTTCAACGTGCAGATTTCGGGTGACTGCAGGATTTCCAAAGCATGTGTACCGCCAACTGGGCGTCGACAGATATTTTTCAAATCTTTTCATGTTTTTAATCAAGGTGGTTAAATAATTTGCACTTTGCGAGGTAATTAATTTGGCCCATTGCATTTCAATATATATTTTAATTATCGATAAGACTGAGCGCGGCCATTTTGTTTGAAGTCAATGCACATGATATGAGAGGTGGAATCTGGTTGGTCAATAGAAGGGGCATAGAAGTGACATAACTTGTAATAGCCACTGGTGGTGCTACAGTCAAGCCTGGAAATTCAAACCTCGTTCGGCAAGGGTGGAAATTGGACTTTTATAGTCAGATAACGCCCTTGCCTTGGGAAGATGGTCAAATGAGTTTGTGCAGCTCATATTTATACATACTTTTTGGATTGCTTGGTTTATTGGGAAAAAATAAATGTTAATACTGTTGTAAGTGTAGGAGGTTCTCATACTTTGTGCATCAACATGTAGTATTTAAGTCTGAGAAGGCTTTGTAAGTGGCTCAGTGGCTTGAAACTACATATGATGGATTTGATCAATGTATATTTGAAAGTTAACAGCTGCTTTAGTTTTGTATAATTTTGGAAGTTGTATCTTTTTCTAGAACTCATAGATGGAGTGGTCAGACAAATGAAATAAACTTTAGCTATTTTTATTTTGTTTTATGATTGTGTGTTTTGGCTCCAATTGGTCTAAACCATAAACGGAAGAAGAAAATAGAGTCTCTGAATTTTTTAATTTATATGGAACCAATATTACAAAAAATAGATTTTCAGATATATTGAATTGGAATAATTAAAGCACCGGTAATTTGGCAATATGTCAAAATTTGGTTCCTGGTTTTACACGACACAGAAATGTGTGCTGAGTACGCACAAACATATAGAATAGACACAGAAATGTGTGTCGAGTACACACAAACATATAGAATAGACACAGAAATGTGTGTCGAGTACACACAAACATATAGAATAGACACAGAAATGTGTGTCGAGTACACACAAACATATAGAATAGACACAGAAATGTGTGTCGTGTACACACAAACATATAGAATAGACACAGAAATGTGTGTCGAGTACACACAAACATATAGAATAGACACAGAAATGTGTGTCGAGTACACACAAACATATAGAATAGACACAGAAATGTGTGTCGAGTACACACAAACATATAGAATAGACACAGAAATGTGTGTCGAGTACACACAAACATATAGAATAGACACAGAAATGTGTGTCGAGTACACACAAACATATAGAATAGACACAGAAATGTGTGTCGAGTACACACAAACATATAGAATAGACACAGAAATGTGTGTCGAGTACACACAAACATATAGAATAGACACAGAAATGTGTGTCGAGTACACACAAACATATAGAATAGACACAGAAATGTGTGTCGAGTACACACAAAAGTATAGAATAGACACAGAAATGTGTGTCGAGTACACACAAACGTATAGAATAGACACAGAAATGTGTGTCGAGTACACACAAACATATAGAATAGACACAGAAATGTGTGTCGAGTACACACAAACATATAGAATAGACACAGAAATGTGTGTTGAGTACACACAAACATATAGAATAGACACAGAAAAAAATATATATTGTGTCTCAAGGAACGCATGATAATACTCATTGAACCAAATTCTCGACAAGAAATATAAAGTTCCTGTAAAGTAATTCTTAAATCTTACAATACACTACACTACACCATTTCTTTACTTTACAGGACCCTCATATTGCCAGTAAGGACCCATGAAATTAGTAATTGGCGGTCCTGTGGACCCCTAGTTTTGTAGGTCAGGGTAAACCTCAGATGGCTGATTTGCCAGAATTGTGATTCTGGTCCATGGTCAGAAAACAAAATCTACTCAGAGAATTTACCGATAATTCCATGATATGTGAATTTCTACAGATCCTTTGCTCTGCGGCCTGTTTGGGGGAAATGAACGGGACGGGGCAGGTCGACCTTTCACTGTATGATAAAATAAAGATGCAGGCCGGAATTCCTCTGCTGCTGAAGTGGGAGGTTTACATAAACAGTAGGACAGAGGGAACCGGTATCAAATAAAGCTCTTTTGTATTAAGGAATATAAAAGCTTGGAAGGGGATATCCAAATATCTCTCTGCAGATGGACTAGATCACGATACTGGACTAAAATAGCCAATCAGACATGCTGATAGGGAGATATCGGGACATGTACGTAAGACACGTGACGTATCGCGGAGAATATTGATGGAATCATTGCTGAACTTCACTGATGGTTGCCATCCCTTGTGTAACTGTTTCTAGTGCCATCATTATATATGTATATAAAATACACCAATTCTGCTGTGACTTTGATATGAGTAGAAACTAACATTGAGTTATGAAATGAAAATATTTGTTTAAAAAAACAACTCTGTTTGATATGTTATGGAAAGGTGCTTAGAGAATTTCTTCATGTTGATGGTGTCTAGGCTTGCCAACATATTGTAGACTTACTTGGGTGTTTTCGGATATTTTTGTTTCTCTCACTGTATGAGACACTAATATGAATACATGTCTCTGTATGAGACACTAATATGAATACATGTCTCTGTATGAGACACTAATATGAATACATGTCTCTGTATGAGACACTAATATAAATACATGTCTCTGTATGAGACACTAAAATGAATACATGTCTCTGTATGAGACCATAATATGAATACATGTCTCTGTATGAGACACTAATATGAATACATGTCTCTGTATGAGACACTAATATGACTACTTGTCTCTGTATGAGACACTAATATGAATACTATAGTCATCATAACAGGCATCCAGCAAAAAAACTTTTTTAAATACATAAATATTTCTTGTCATTTTCTTTTTTTCACCATTATTATACAGATAGTGAATCAGTTGTAAGGACAAATGCTGTGTTTGATTGACATGATATGCTTATTTAAAACCCTGCATGATCAGAGGCATTAAGCAGAGAACCTTCCGATCAGCAAGCATTTTCTAATTCTTATATTTATTTTACATTGATAAATTTCTTTGTAATTTATGGGGTGGGCGGGTAGCCTGGTAGTTAAAGCGTTCGCTCGTCACGCCGAAGACCCGGGTTCGATTCCCGACATGGGTACAATGTGTGAAGCCCATTTCTGGTGCCCCCCGCCGCGATATTGCTGGAATATTGCTAAAAGTGGCGTAAAACCATACTCACTCACTCACTTCGTAATTTACAGTCAGTCATGATTGTTTCACCTTCCTACAGCTTAAACAGAAGGGACCAGTCATTTATTACAGACTGGGGGATGGGTCAGAGGTTTCTGATTTACTTATGTACTGAAAATAATGACCCTCCCCTTGTCATGTTTTTGGAAGACCCTCACCATGTCCTTGTACATTTTTTCATGACCCTCCCCAAAATATGTGTACTATTTTTTATGACCCTCCTCTCGAGACTCTCGTATTTGTTGGTGAGCTACCCCCTCTATAATAAATGATAGGTCCCTAATGTTATATGAATAATTCTAATTTTAGTTACTTTAAATTATCAATAAAACCAAAAGCATGATAACATCATTTATACACAATGTACTTAAGCTGGAACTGATCCGAACAATCACAAAACCAACACCAATACTTCATAGAAACAAAAGCAGGATAGCATCATTTATACACAATGTACTTAAGCTGGAACTGATCCGAACAATCACAAAACCAAAACCAATACTTCATAGAAACAAACCCAAGCTTCTGAACTTGTTGACACCTGAAGCAATTTAGCCAATGTTGGAGATTCACTAGACATTCCTGAGCTGCTGTGTGATGCTAAATAATGAAGCCATCAAGCCAATAACCTAACAAAGTCAGCTTGTTCTCTGGAATCATGACCTTAGACGACCTGGTTTTATTAACGCCACAAGAGAGGATCCACTGGAAGCTGTCTGAGACTAGAGACTAAAGGAGACGCCCCTTCAAGTTCCCCGAATTACCTTCTCAATCAATGTCGGGAATGCTAAACAAAAACTCCACAATTTGTCTTTGAAATGCCACCTGTTATATATAAGGCTTACTTAGCAAGGTGCTGGCGGTTAATGTTTGTAAACTATTTACGGTTTGAAAATCGTTTTTTCGGTTAAATAGTTTTGAAGATCGACAGTTGATATAATTAGGGGGAAAATTTACCTGTTGCCATCTTGTTTTAGAAGGAAATGAAGTACTGAATTGGAAACGATTTATCAGGGGTAAAATAGAAAGTTGTTAAGAATTTGGGGCTAACTTCATAGTTACCTTTTCCAGTTTCACACAACCTGTGAAGATCCAGGTTAGAATAGGTCTTCAGCAACCCATGCTTGCTGTAAGAGGCGACTAACAGGATCAGGTGGTCAGGCTTGCTGACTTGGTTGATGCAAGTCATCGTATCCCAGTTGCGTAGATCAGTGCTCATGATATCGATCACTGGATTGTCTGGTCCAGGCTCGACTCGACTGTGCTGAATCCCACGTTACATATGTGTGTGTTTATCAGGGCTGGGGCGAGTCCAAATTTTCTACCCGCGTACCCGGACCCCTGTTACCTGACTGCCTGTGTATCCGCTGTAGGTCTCGAGAGTTGGGTACAAGATATATTTAGATACATGTATAAAATGATCTGATCATGAATACCCTGAAGTTGACGGAAGCATACGTGAACATTAGTGCCTTGTAGTGTAACCATGGAGTTCTTGTGAATTTTTGTCATTAAACAATATATCACGTGACTATCATGGATCCGGGTAGTCCTATGGGTACTGGGGTCCAAGTTTGTTTGCTATTTAACGCTGCACTCAGCAATATTCCGGCTTTATTACAGCGGTCTGTGAATAATCGAGTCTGAACCAGACAATCCAGTGATTGACATTATGAGCATCGATCCACCCAATTGGGATATGATGACATGCATCAACCAAGTCAGCGAGCTTGACCACCCGATCCATTTAGTCGTCTCTTATGACAAGCATAGTCGCCTTTTACAGCAAGAATGTGTTGCTGAAGACCTATTCTACCCCAGATCTTCACAGGGTCCCAGTCAGCGGCCACCTCAACCCGAGTGTGTTATCCCTCTGTAATACAGTTGCTGTGTAAAGGGAGAGAGACAGATAGGTCCAATGGAGTTGTCTCCCTTGATGTAAGACATTTCAGTTTGATATTGTTTTGTCTATAGTTAAAATCTCCAGAACCAAGAGTGCTCTTCTACACGAAGGGGTGACATTGTTCGCAGGTTTAAAGGTCAAGGTCTATCTCAATAGATGGTGTGGATATTAGACTTGTTGATTGTGCTGTTGTAATAAAATGGGGCAGTATAGCATTTCTATCTGTTGTGTTCTGCAGTGCTCTGTGTCATGTGGTGTCGGAGTCAAGTGGAGGGAAGTCAAGTGTATGATCAATCGAGACGAGGTCGTGGATGTGGACCAGTGTCAAAACGCGACCAAGCCACAAACCTCAATGAAGTGTTACAGAAAGACTTGCTTGAAGTTCAAGTGGAAACCAGGGCCCTGGTCCGAGGTGAGAACATTTTAGGCAAAATTTAGAGTGAGTGAGTGAGTATGGTTTTACGCCGCTTTTAGCTATATTCCAGCAATATCACGGCGGGGGACACCAGAAATGGGCTTCACACATTGTACCTATGTCGGGAATCGAACCCGGGTCTTTGGCGGGAGGAGCAAAGGCTTTAACCACTAGGCTCCCCGACCACCCCTGCAAAATTTAGACAATTTTACGAAGACCTGTTTTGTGAAAAAAAGTCAATGTTATTCCAAGGCAGAATAGGTCCTACCCCTCCTGCTTGTTCTAAGGGGCCAACCATGTTCATGTATATAATGCTCCGAGAAAATATGTTGTGCTTATTTAGGTTTTACACCAAAAAATAATCACAAAATATGCTTGATGGTTGAGAAAATAATGTGTTTTAAGGAAACATTATTTTAGAACTATATGAATATAATGTCGAGGGAACCACTCTATTTATTAATGATTTTTGGCTGTTCTTGTCTTCGGAATCACCACACATTACCGAAACCCCAGCCTGAACTTGTTGGGAATGTCCTGCTAGCTGACCTCACCACATTTATCGGATTTTGATACCAAAGTTATTGTATAGGCTTATCACATTGATAACACTTTCCATTCCATGATAAATAGAGGATTCATCACGAGTGTTTTTTAATATGGGAAATATCAACCGAGTCTTAGTTAATCGGTATTTGCCGAGCCTTTGGCGAGGCAAATACTGATTAACGTGACGAGGTTGATATTTCCCATATTAAAAAACACTCGTGATGAATTCTATTTATCATTTTCACATTTTTGCTTCCAAATTAAGGAATAATTGCATTAAACATTAACATCAGCAACTTGTCAAAATCTTACGTATAGATCGTACGTAGTGATACATGTTTTCCATAGCCATGTATACCAAAATAAACAATTCGCTGAGAAAAAAAGTTCCTCGGATTATTTTAAACAAAATACTTGAACAGACTTTTGCAGAATAATTGAAACTTTAATAACGGTAACAACAACGATTCTGTGTAATCTGATTATATCTCTGGTGTAACTTCACTTATAATATATAGTTTCAAATCAAACCGCTCGCTCTTCCGGTTATCTAATTTGCATATCTAATTTGCATACTTATGTCATTGGGGTATGACATACATGTTTTTATGTCATAAGCTTATGTCATGGATAAATGCTTAAGTTAAATGATAAATACCAGTATGCTAATATCTGCCCTGTTGCTGCCAGTGCTCCAAGACTTGTGGATTTGGTCGGAAGGAGAGGTCAGTGACCTGCACGGACAGACTGGGTGTGGCTGTGTCCTCTCACCTCTGTGACAACAACAGCAAGCCGAAGGTGCGGCGGCGATGTAGCGAGTACCCCTGCCCCTTCATCTGGAACATCGGGCCATGGAGCGAGGTAGGTCACGCCGCTGTCATGGTGGAAAGGACATTGTGTTTGTTACTTGATAAATCCGATCGTATATCAGCTGCTTTTATGTCAAAGGCCGAGATTACTTCATGCGTAACTGGGAAATGTACATAGTCGTATGACATGGAGTATTAGTCTGGATTGTAGCCTATTATACATACACCGCAGTTCAGGTCAACCTATTGCACCTTCATCAGCTGAAAGACAGGATGGGGTGCATGACACATATATATATATCCTGACGTATCCTATTTTCGAACAGTTAAGATGACATTGCTGATATTTCGAGGGATGAGTGAATCAAAACTCAAAATCTGCTTTATACCAGTATCAACAATAGAATTCAGTTAAATTCCGAAAGAAAAAAGTCCTCAATAAAAGGCACGACCTCCTTTACCTCGTCTGTAAACTTCCGCTGCACTCGAGTGACGTCACCTATTGTCGAACAAGTGATTGTTTTCGTACTTTAGCGGGTTTTCTTGAATGAAGAGACATGTTTCGACGCACAGTTCTCAACAGAATTCTTGCAGGTCGGCATTAAAACTCAAAAAGTAATTCATAGTTTAAAACCTATTCACAAAATATGAATATTTGTCGCTTGATTGTGTTCACGCTATCTTAATCTTCCTGGCGAGGTAAAGGAACAAATCGAAGGGGTCTTGAAATGGTTCTTGTTTATTCAAGTCTGAAGCAGTGAAGACACAAGCATGATAAATTAACGTCCTGTCCATACAGCGCCGAATAAGGCGTACTTATCTGCTACATACATGTATGAATAAATGCTAACTGTAATGAGTCATCAACAATAATGATTTACGTCTGCTGTAACTTACAAATTTTCCCCTTCATCAGCAAAGAAAACCGGCCTTATGCCCACCACGCCAAGTAGGGTTATCGCGCTTGCTCACAAAGAACCATAACTCTAATTGACTGTTAATTAATGACGTTGTGAATGTCAACATGCACGCAACACTGGTTCGAGTCGCACCCATACAACGCAACCTAAACATACTTTTCTTTTTCCCTTTTTTTCCACATGTTTTACATGCATAACAAACATCAAAATATTCAACATCTCTAACATAAGAAAGTACTTCCTTAAGTACATGAAAATCAACACAGCATCAACTCAGAAGCCCATACAAACTAAATACGTTTGCATTAATGTTGTAAGCGAAACACTCTCCCCACCATGCGAAGGATTCGCATCAAAATGCACATTAATCATTCCTCGTCAAAACTCTCAGATGGATACAACACGGCAATCTTTGTGACTGGTCTTTGGAACTCTCCTTTGACTGTCCTAACTTTGACATTTCGGACTCGTCCATCTGCCCCTGGGTACACTTCCACAATCCTTCCCAACTTCCACTGTCCACGAACTGCATTAGGATCAGCCATAACTACAACGTCATTGACGCTCACATTTCTTCTGTGTACATTCCACTTCTTCCTTGGAACAAGCGTTGGAAAGACATCCCTGATCCATCTCTTCCAGAAAACATCAGCCATTCTCTGAACAAACTCAAACCTGTGGCGTGGATTCCTTGTTTCTTGAAAGGGACCTTGTGGAACTCTACTTGTAGCACGTCCTAAAAGAAGATCATTTGGACATACATATGATCCGTCATCTGGGTCATTGGGAATTCTTCCAATAGGTCTTTGGTTGACAAGATTAGCCACCTCCTGCAAACACGTGTACAACTCAAATGGTGTTAGAAGCTGAGATCCTACAGCCTTCTTCAGGCCTTGTTTGCAGCTCTTCACTAAAGCTTCTGCACATCCATTCTGATGAGGTGCTAATGGTGTTACAAACTTCCAGTGTACCTGTTTTTCAGCACAGTATTCCTTCAGCTCGTCCTTGCCCCAACCTTGAATCATCTGTCTTAGCTGTCTCTGAGTACCAACAAACTGTGTACCGTTGTCACTTTGTATTTGACATGGATAGCCTCTGACTGCAAAGAACCTTCTCAACACTTGCAGAAACTCCTGAGTAGAACAGTCAACTGCCAGTTCCAAATGCACCGCTCTTGCGTTTAAACAAGTGAAGATGACGCCATAGTGTTTTGTTGTCTTGTTTCGGCCAACTTTAACATCAATCGGTCCAAAATAATCCACTGCAGTGTAAAAGAAAGGTGGTGAAAAGGGTTTCACTCTTTCCATGGGCAAATCACTCATCCATTGTTGCTCAAGTTTATGTTCAAAGGCTCTGCATCTTGCACATCTATGCTTGATTTTCTTCACCAACTTTGTTACTCCAATGATCCAGTATCGCCTCCTCACCCTGGCTGCTGTCGAGGCAACACCATAATGACCTGTCTCGTGAACATGTTTTGCAATCAGGTATGAAATATGATGACTTTGTGGCAAGAGTGCTGGGTAAGCTGTATCATATGACAGCCTCTGATTGTTGGTCCTTCCACCAACATAAACAATCTGATCTTCAACAAAAGGACTTAGAGTTTTGTAAGTGTCAAGTGACTTGAGCTCCGTTTGAGCTTGGAGGATCCAATATTTCTCAGATGCAGATAGTTCCTCAACTGTAAGTGGACCGGTAATGGCTGGCTCCTTTCTTCTGCAGTTGTTGATGAATCTCTGCAAATAAGATGTAACTCTAATCAGTCTTCTCCACTTTGAGAACTTTCTTGCATCAATCACTCGTTCAGTCTCTGAAACTATCAATACTGTTTTCTCTCTCTTACGTTCTTTTTCAACTTCATCGCAATCAGCTTTGGGATTTGACTTTGGCCATTGCTCTTGGGGCATCTGTAGGAATATCGGGCCATCTCTCCAATCCCCTGTCAAATCACCAATTGGCACACCCCGTGACACTTTGTCTGCTACATTGTATTCACCTGGAATGTGAAACCAATCAGTAGGATCACTTTGGCTCTGAATTTCAGCAACTCTGTTGGCGACAAATGACTTCCACTGACGTGACTGACCTCTTATCCAGCTCAAGACAATAACGCTGTCAGACAAGAAAAACACTTGATCAAAGGATACTGTCATTTCCTGCTTTACAGTTGTAGCGAGTCGAGATGCTAACACAGCTGCTTGTAACTCAAGTCTGGGCAGTGTCAAGGCTTTCAAAGGCGCAACTCTTGCCTTTGCTGCAACAAATCTTACACCAACAGTTCCATCAACCGTTATCCATCTGGTATAACAAACAGCACCAAACGCCTTCTCAGAAGCGTCACAGAATGTCACTAACTGACGTGTCTCTGCAGTTGGCTCCGGGATGAGACATCTGTCAAAGCTGACTCCCTGAAGCTCTTTAAGCTCAGAAAAAAAGTTGATCCAACTGACTGTCTCCCTTTCACCAAGTTCCTCATCCCAGGAAACTCCACTTGACCATAGTTGCTGCATCATAACCTTTCCTTTGATGAGATATGCTCCAGCAAATCCGATCGGATCATACACCTTTGACAACTCACTGAGAACAATTCTCTTTGTCAGGTTTGATCCCTTTAAGTCAGGTTGTTTGACCATGTATTTCAACACATCATCCTTTGGATCCCAGACCACTCCCAGGATCTTCTGTTCCTCTGTCCACATGATATTTTCTTTGTACTCGCTATTCTTGAACTTGCCTCCATTTGAAGTCCAACTTTTAACCTTGAATCCGCCAGATGCCAGGACTGCATCAATATCCTCACTCAACTCCTTCTCATTCACATCAGTTGGTATTGATGAACATATGTCGTCCATGTATGTATCTTTAAGTAAGGTTTGTGCTGCTTTTGGATGTTCTGATTCTGCTTCCTTAGCTGTCTTCATCAAAGCAGTTATTGCCAAAGCCGGTGCAGGCTTGTCTCCTGGGGTTACCACTTGAAGAACATATGTATCAGGAGGTCTCCTTTCAAAGTTCCGCCAGAGAAACCTGTGTACGTGTTGATCGTGCTCTGATATCCTCACTTGATAGTACATCTTACTGATGTCTCCAGCGATGGCTGTCTGATACTGTCTGAATCTTAGAGTAACACCTACGAGACTCTGAAGCAAATCTGGTCCTTTGTCCCAATAGTCGTTGATGCAGCCTCCTTGGTACTTACTTGATGAGTTGAAGACTATTCTGATCGGTGTACTCTTACTCTCCTTTCTAATGACTGCATGATGAGGCAGATAATACACTGGACCCTTGTATTCACGGATCTCTTCTTCATTCAATCTTCTTGCAAATTGTCTGTCAACCAACTCTTGTATTGCATCATTGTACACTTTGGCTGAATCTGCACTCTTCTTCAACCTTGACTCAGTTGCTTTCATCTGAGAGAAGCACTGATTCCGATTGTCAGGTAACTGGTCTGGTGACTTTATCCATGGATATGTAACCTCCCAATGATTATCAACTCTTTGACATGAATCCCACATTTCATGAGCTTGTGAACTCTCTTCTATTGCCATGCATCTTACTCCCATTTCTTCAGTACTCCAGAACTGACTCAAGTCAACTGGTTTCACTAGCTGTGCAACGAGAACTTGACTGTTGGATGCACCTCCTTCACTTGATCCAAAAACAACCCAACCAAGTGGCGATTTGCGAGCAACAAATCCATCAGCTTCTCTGATCTCTCCAACATGCATGCGAGCATTGTTCACACCAATCAGCAGATCTATAGGTCCTCCTCTTCTGTGTATAGGTTCTCCAAGATATTTTTCAAACTTCTGTTTCAGGCTCAAACTCATTTCTGGTACTTCAGTTATATCTGGAACCCCTACTGCAATGACAGAAAATATCTGCTGGTTTGCTGATTTCAATTTAACTTTGTATGCTCTGGTGTTATGCATATGGACCTCTCCACCAACAGTTCCTATCTCCACTTGTACTGGGTGACTCTCAAATTCGCAATCCTTGGCAACCTCCTCTCTGATAAGAGTGATGCTAGCTCCTGAATCAAATACGGCGTTACATGTCCTCCTCCCAATTTCAACACTGATGACTGGCAACATTCCATTTTCATTTTCACTGCAGACTAAGGCTTGCTGCGTATGTGGTCCTGACTGAACATGCAGAAGTCTATGATGCACAGCATCACAATTTGGGCATTGCTGACGCCGAGTACATGTTGTTGCTTTGTGACCTTTACCAGCTATCTTCAAACAAGAAAAACACACACGTTTTTCAGTTGCTCTCTTAAGTCTCTCAGATGGTGATAGATTTTGGAAAACAGGACATTCATCAGGCCAATGATCATCAGGACAGTTCCAACACTTGTTTCTTGATGTCCCTCTCAACATTAGAACTCTGCTGCGGTAACCGGGGTTTTCCCTTGTCTGAGTCAGTGTCTGTTGACGATCAACCATCCCGAATACAGGATCATTCACTTCTATAGCAGCTGCTCTGACAAATCTTGTCAAGTCCTGCAAGGCTGGCATGTTTCCATTCATCCTCAGTTTGTAAACCTCTCTAGCCCACCTCTGTTGTAGAAATCTTGGTAATTTCTCAACAATACTCTTCAATGTTGCTTGATTGTTCATCTCATTCAGATACCCGAGTGCTTTCAGGGCTTGATGACAATTGTCCAAATCATCTGCATATTCTTCCAGTTTACCCACTTCAACTCTTGCACGGCGGACTGTTACTTTTCTCACCCAGGCCTGGACAACCACTCCATTTGTACCAAATCTCTCCTTCAGAGTGAGCAATGCTGATCGCAAACCTTCATCTGAGGGTTTCAACAAGCAATGATCTGTACAGTCAAGGGCTCTACCTACACACAATGATCTCAGCAAATTGAGTTTTACACCATCATCATAGATATATTTTACACTGTTTTCATAAGATGCAACAAATGCATGATAATGCAAAGGATCACCATCAAACCTTTTTGCCTGTGCCCTAGGCAAAGCCATGGCCTGCATCATTCCAACCATTGGATTTGTTGCATTACTACAAACATCTGTGGCAACATTGTCAATCTTTTCTTTTACATTTTGTTCATCAATGTCCGATACACTTTGATTATCATTACTACAACTTTCATCATCACTGTGAACAATTACATTATCATTTTCAGCATTTATATTCTGATCTTGAACATTACGTTTGGGCTTTCTTGAACTTTGATCATCAGTCTCTTTCAACAACATTCTTGCCCGTCTTACAGTTTCCCTGTAGTCACTGGTCACCCTTTCCATCCATCCCTGCTCTTTGGCATATTCCTCGTCAGACTCGATTACATCAGACAGTCTATCGTGAGCCTCTTCCACAGATTCCATCATTTGATCAACCTTTAACATCAGTCTTCGCAGTTCAGCCACGTCTGTCTCTTCCTGTCGCACCTCGTCGATCAGTTCTTTCATGGCCAGCGTCAGTTTTCCTTTCCGGTTTCTTCTCGCCCTCTCAAGCTGTTCCTTTTCCTCCATGGTTGACTGCAGATCGAGGAATTTACTTGAATTGTGGCGAGGTAAAGGAACAAATCGAAGGGGTCTTGAAATGGTTCTTGTTTATTCAAGTCTGAAGCAGTGAAGACACAAGCATGATAAATTAACGTCCTGTCCATACAGCGCCGAATAAGGCGTACTTATCTGCTACATACATGTATGAATAAATGCTAACTGTAATGAGTCATCAACAATAATGATTTACGTCTGCTGTAACTTACAAATTTTCCCCTTCATCAGCAAAGAAAACCGGCCTTATGCCCACCACGCCAAGTAGGGTTATCGCGCTTGCTCACAAAGAACCATAACTCTAATTGACTGTTAATTAATGACGTTGTGAATGTCAACATGCACGCAACACTGGTTCGAGTCGCACCCATACAACGCAACCTAAACATACTTTTCTTTTTCCCTTTTTTTCCACATGTTTTACATGCATAACAAACATCAAAATATTCAACATCTCTAACATAAGAAAGTACTTCCTTAAGTACATGAAAATCAACACAGCATCAACTCAGAAGCCCATACAAACTAAATACGTGTGCATTAATGTTGTAAGCGAAACACTTCCCCTTCATCATGACACTGACACCAAAAGTCTGAATGATGATGTAATGTTCTGACATGTGTACAGCACTTCACATAAACCCATTGTTGACAGGCTGAATGCATGCATTCTCAAGTCGGCAGCTGTTATGACATCACACCTCTCCCTGTAATATATCAATATCAAATATGGCTGTTCGAAAATAGGGTACTCGATGACAATTAAGAGGGGACATGACAGTTGTTATAAGTAATTGTGTTCATATTTATGTGTCATCTTTTTATTATCATGACATCATTTTTTCATTGTCATAATTCATTATTGAGTTGTCTTAATTATATATTATCTGTCATCAATTTATTATCATCTTGTCATCTTTTTATTATCGTTACAATCATTTTATCATTGTCATAATTTTATTATAGTGTTGTCATCAGATTATCATTATTTGTCATCATGATGCATTCATGTTGTCATTGGACCGCCTCCGTGGTCTAGTGGTAGAGCGTCCACCCGGAGAGCGGAAGGTCCGGGGTTTGATCCCAGGCCGCGTCATACCAAAACACGTTAAAAGATGGTACTTGTTGTTACCCTGTCTGGCGCTCGGCATTAAGGGGCTAAAACAAGGACTGGTCGGCTCAGAGTCAGTATACTGTGTCTGAGTGGGGTATTCATGTTAAACTGCGGCATGGTATCTCAGTGAGCTAGCACTATAAATCGGCATCAGTCCGGACTAGTACAAGCAGCCACACAAACACACACACGTACATGCACGTCGCTATATAAGCGCAATTATCTTGGACGCGACGTTAAACCCCTTTCACCTCACCACCTCATGTTGTCATTGTATCCTGTTGTCATCCTTTCATCACCACTCACTGGCTGCTTCCAGTGTACATCGTCATGCAGCGAGGGGAAGCAGATCCGCACTGTGGTGTGTCAGTCTGTCACCAGGGAGGGCTGGATACTCCCGGGGGAGGTCCCCAACCGCTGCCCACTCCGCGAGAAACCCACCCGCGTCCGCTACTGTAACTATGGCGACTGTAATGCTGACTACAGATGGAGGGTTGGACCCTGGGGACAGGTGAGTGTTGAGCTACACAAAGACTCTGGCTTAATGTGAACTCACAGAGCTGAATAGTACAAGGAATCACTTCTCCAAGAGAAAGTCCATGTTGAGATCTACTTACAACCTCAGCAGTTTTACGACGATTTTAGCAATAGTCCAGCAAAGTCATGGCGGGAGATATGAGCTTTACACATTGTACCGAAGTGGGGAATCAAACCCGGGCCTTCGGCGTGATGAGCAAACGCTTTAACCACTAAGCTACCCCAATTTAATACAACACTTTAAACCTGCACTACCGTGGTGTCAAGGAGTGAATTTTTCTATTCTGTCAAATACCAGTGTGTAGATATTTCATTTTGGTTCTCAGAGAAAATTTTAACTGTCCATGGAAGACTACAATAAAACTATCTCTATGTCTGACTGTCTAACATACATGGTCCCACTTATATGAAGCAATCTTAGCACTGAGACCATTGTAAGTATATGTTAAAGTAAGGGAGTTATGATTGTCTTAAAGCTAAGATTGCTTTGTGCATGTGGGCCCAGGTTTGAAGAGTCGGGCATGGTATGTCCTTACCCTGGATAATAGAATTCAGTGAGTGGGTGGGTGGTTGGGTGAGTGAGAGTTTAGGTTGAAACTGCGCTTGATTGATGAGGCTCATGCCAATCTCATAAAAGACCCAGGTTCCATTCTTGACATTAGTAAAACATTCAAGTGAGTGAGTGAATATGGGTTTATGCCGTGTTTAGCAGTATTCCAGCAATTTCACAGTGGGGGACACCAGAAATGGACTTCACACATTGTACCCATGTGGGAAATCGAACCCAGAGTATATTTAAAAGGTAATGTTTGTTTTTTCGCAGTGTACTGTACGCTGTGGCCACGGGAAGCAGCGGAGGATGATCAAGTGTGTGGACAAGAAAGGGCGCCGCAAGTCCAAGAGGCGCTGCATCCGACTGTACCGCCCCGAGTCCAGCAGGGCTTGCTACAACGGACCATGTAAGATAGATATCTCCTACACTTTAACATAGACTTACGACAGCAATACAGCCGTAGCACTAACATAGATAAGTCCCATACTTTAAAACAGACTTACGACAGCCATAGTAATAAGATAGATAATTCCCATACTCTAACATACACTTACAACAACGTAGCACTAAGATAGTTAACTCCCACACTTTAACATAGACTTACAACAACGTAGCACTAACATAGATAACTCCCATACTTTAACATTGATTTATGATAGCCATACGACCGTGGCACTAACATAGATAACTCCCATACTTTAAAACAGACTTACGACAGCCGTAGCAATAAGATAGATTACCCCCATACTTTAACATAATCTTACGACAACATAGCAATAACATAGATTACTCCCATACTTCAACATAGACTTACAACGATGTAGCACTAACATAGATAACTCCCATACTTTAACATAGACTTAAGAACAACGTAGCACTAACATAGATAACTCCCATACTTTAACATAGACTTAAGAACAATGTAGCACTAAGATAGATAACTCCCATACTTTAACATAGACTTAAGAACAACGTAGCACTAAGATAGATAACTCCCATACTTTAACATAGACTTACGACAACGAAGCACTAAGATAGATAACTCCCATACTTTAACATAGACTTACATCAGTCGTAGCACTAACATCGCTTTGTGAAACCAGGTCCAGGATAATAGAATATCTTATTTACAACATAGACAAAATCTTCTGCACTTTTTCATGGTCCATCATCTATCTGTTACCTAGGTTACGCGAGATCCTGCAAGGAACTGAAGGAGATCACCACTATCAGAGTGGATGGTGGCTACAAGCTGATGGTGGACCGCAAGCTAATTACAGTAAGTGATATACTGCCCACAGCATCAGGCTGAGGTACAGCTAGGATATATATTTGTCGTGGCAGCATGAAGTCTCACCCAATACTGGAAATCACAAGGATTATGCTGATGCACATGTTGAAGATCCGTCAACATTTCAACAAAACTGGATGTATAATTAAACTGAAGGCAAATTGTGTAATTCTTCTGCCGTAAAAGGCGACTATGCTTGTCGTAAGAGGTGACTAATGGGATCGGATGGTCAGGCTTGCTGGCTTGGTTGATGCATGTCATCATATCCCAATTGCGTGGATCAATGCTCATGATGTCAATCACTGGATTGTCTGGTCCAGACTCGATTATTACAAACCTCTTGTCGTAAGAGGTGACTAATGGGATCGGATGGTCAGGCTTGCTGGCTTGGTTGATGCATGTCATCATATCCCAATTGCGTGGATCAATACTCATGATGTCAATCACTGAATTGTCTGGTCCAGACTTGATTATTTACAAACCGCCGTCATATAGCTAGAATATTGCTGAGTGCGGCATTAAACAACAAACAAACAAACAAACAACTTCACCCGATCAAGCAGGTTATCCATGGTCTGTTGTGTTGCAGATATACTGTAAGGACATGCGGAAGGCCATTCCCCTGGAATACCTGACACTGCCCAATGACCGCCACCAGAACTATGCCGAGATGTTTGACCACAGGTAGGTGATCGGTCATCTCAAACAAACTCAATAAAATAACATCTCACTATGTGAAGATCTGACAACTGCTCCTTAGGTTGTTGCATCAGGTGAACCTTTATCGAACTCAGACCGCCCAATTTAAAAGAAGGGTGCTTGGATTCTTGGGCCAATCAGATGTCAGCTTTCTATAATGATTCGGCTTCATGTACTGATTCAGAAATTTAGATTATAAAAAAAGAAAACCGACACAGAACAGAAATATTCCTTCCATGTTTCTCTGTTAGATCCCATGGTGCTTAGAAATAATAGGGTGTATAAAACATCCAAAACAATATAATGGCCTTTATTATTTACATTCAGAACTGCTAATTTAAGTTCATTTTCAAGTGATAGAAATCAGATATGCTGCTCTGAATGCTTTGCTGACTCATTCCAAGAATTAAGAAGTCTCAATGCTGATAGGCTGATTAGAAATTTCCCCCTGACGCAACCTCCAATGGAGAGGTTGTCAGATCTTCATGCAGAGAGGTATCATATCCGAGTAAACGATCTGATTTTGATGAGATTGACGTCTCAGATAAACTGTGACCTGTGAGGTTTTCACTTGTTGTTAGCAGTATTGCTTCATCATCACCACATCAAGGTCCAGATACTTGAATTGTACCCATGGAATCAAGCCTAGATCTGAAGCCTGACAAGCAAACACTTTACCCCATAGGCTATCCCTGAACTTGATTTTTTTTCTTCTATATTTGTGATTGTAAGGATAAAAAGAGAAAAAAAAAGGAGCTACGTAATGTCATTTATTTCTCACTAAAGGTGCAAGAGCATCCCAGTGGTAAAGACACCATACTTCCCTGTGCAGAGTTACCTCCCTTAGCTGTGTAAGGATAAGGTGATGGTTTTAAACCCATAATTGTGATCTAAAATAACTCCCATATTTTAACATAGGCTCTAGACAGTCATAGTCTGTTTATCAGTGCCATATCTGTGCTGTTGGCTTTCACCAATGGGGTACACATCTACAGAACCTCAAGATTTGATTGCTGACAGATTGTGACATGTCTTAGATACTGTTCTGATTGGCATCCCTCTCACTACTCTGATTGTCAGGCTGCGAAACCCTGCATCTTGTCCCAACAACGGCACACGCCCCCAAGTCTGCAACCGTTGCCGGCGGAAACCGTACAAGCAAGCAGGCAGCACAACTTACTCCAAAGTCAGGATAGACCTCAACACTTTAAAAATATTGCGTAAGTATCCAGGTATTTTCCATAATAGTTGAGATAAGCAAGGTCATAGAAATACAACTAAAGCCCATGTCACAATGATTTTATGCACCCTACTTCACCGTTGACGTAATATGTAATGACATCACAGCCTTATACAGTCATGCCCCGCTTATACGGTTCCCGGACGATTTTCATTCAAAACGAAATAATTACTATATAAATTTACCTGTATATACGGAAATTCAGTTTCCGAAACCGGATGGTCATTTTCAAACACAAAACACTGAAATGCACACAAAATTGTCTCACTTACCCGGACAATACACTTCCACTGGTTCTAATCCTTCCGCTGGTGGTAATCCTTTGATTCGTGAGAAGTCAATTAACCAAGTGACACTGAGTTACGTTTGAAACAAGCTTTTGTATTGTACATGTAATCCCATATGATAAATATCGCGCCTGTGGAGGTCAGAGGTCAAAGTTGTGACTTCAAACTGTAAGTATGGCCTGTCAACCAGCGAAACGTAAGCGACACGCAGTTACAGCACGCGAAAAAAGGGAAATCTGTCTGTTTAAGGAAAAACACCCGTCAGCAAGTTTGGAAATCATCGACGACCTCGATGTTTCAGTGGTGGTTTCAATCCCGAACTTTATGTTAGGTACCGCAACAATACAAAAGCGTGGATGACATAAGAAGCTGGTTTCAGTTATACGGAAATTCGTTTATACGGACGAATTGTGAAATGACGCAAGTGACCGTATAAACGAGGCACGACTGTATTGGTGACATCATTTTGACACTGTTAGATTGTAAACACTATTTTCAATATATATTTCAAACTTCTTCCCTTGTACACATGATCAAATGAAGACATTAATGACTTAGAGTTCAAACACTTGTAATGTTTTTCGTTGGACTGGTATGTTTTTATTGCTAGTTTTGAAAACTGACATATTTGCAGAAGAATGATTGAATGTTTTTCAAATTGCTTAGATTTTTTTATATTACTTGGTTTATGGATCCTAAAATTATGAATGTGAAAACTTTGAAGCTTTATCATAACACCCGAGCCTGATAATCATGCTAATGAACAAATCAACTGTTTTTGAAAAGAAAAGAAATCATGTGAAACATACAAAGGCCTTATGGCTAGGGCTGGGACAGGCAACTCGGGTCGGGTGGGTCCTGAGTTGGACCCTGGTGCCAACAGCACTACATGAACCTGTGGATAGTCACGTGACATATTGTTCAATGACAAAAACTCACAATAGTCCAGTGGTTACACTAGATGTCGTTGATGTTCGCTATTCTTTCTCATGCATTCCTTTTACTTGTATATGTTTGAGTAAAGATAAAGCTTCTGTCAACTTCACTGTACGCATGATCTGGTTGTTTTATATATGCATCTAAATACATTTGGTCAGAGCTACGGTCAAACTACATTTTGAACCCAACTCTTGAGACCTACAGCGGGAACCTGGGTAGGGTCGGAAAATAGTGGGATGGGTACCCGGGTAGTAAATTTGGATTTGTCCCAGCCCTACTTTGTTTGTTTTGTTTGTTAGTTGTTTAACGCCGCACTCAGCAATATTCCAGCTATATGACGGCGGTCTGTAAATAATCGAGCCCGGACCAGACAATCCAGTGATTGACATCATGGACATCGATCCACGCAATTGGGATACAATGACATGCATCAACCAAGTCAGCAAGTCTGACCACCCGATCCTGTTAGCTGCCTCTTACGACAAGCATAGTCATCTTTTACGGCAAGCATGGGTTGCTGAAGACCTATTCTACCCCGGATCTTCACGGGTCCCCAGCCCTACTGATGGTATATGAATGTTTATTATGTTGCAGCTACTGATGGGACTTTCAGTAATGTCCACAGTGGGAAGCTCATTCCATTCGGTACAGCAGGAGATTGCTACAGCTCAAAGGCCTGCCCTCAGGTGAGTTTCTGGTCATCGGGGAACATGGGGGGTGGCCGATTTCTCACAAGCCGCGATTTGTAAACACTAAACATTGCAGACTCTGGTCCTTGGTATCGAATAAAAACAACCAGCTGACTATTTGAAGAAGATTACTCTCTCTACTATAAACACCAGAGCAGCTTACTATTTCTATTGTTCAAAACAAGCCCTTGAGCGGAAGACGTGTCCATGTTTATTTGCATTCGTATTCGAGGACGTTAAACATGTGGTATATCCACATATGGTACAGATTTGTACCATGTTTTTTGGCCTCTGCCTATTGGCTAAAAGCTTTAAGCTAAGCCAATAAATGATAATCTGTTGAGGGTCCTGAATGTGATAGTGTGGCAGTTAGACGTAGGACCCTCAGTCAGTATAAGCAGAAGGTTTCTTTGTTGTTTAAGGCCACACTCAGCAATATTCCAGCTACATGATGGCGGTCTGTAAATAATCAAGTCTGGGCCAGACATCCAGTGACTGATATCATGAGCATTGATCAGTTGGGATATGATGACATGTATCACCCAAGTCAGTGAGCCTGACCACCCGATCGTGTTTGTCGCCTCTTACGACAAGCATAACCAATTCTAACCGGATCTTCACGGGTCTATAAGCAGTGATAACTGATGTGAATTTGGTTTGATAGCTCTTGTCTGTAATTTGTGGAACAGAGCCATATTTATTCTTTATTCTTTGTGGGTTTTTTCATACTATTCATGTTTTACTGACTGTAAATGGTGATCATTGTTATTTTTATTTGTTTATCTGCTGGGTCAAAAAAATAATTCCATGAAAAACATTAATTTCTTTTTGCTAAGCAGCTTTGACCAATCACATGTAGTAATTAGTAGCAGTGCAATTGGAAACCTAGTGGATCAAATCTGAGTCTGTTTCTCAACTCTTGTGATACGAAGTAAGCTCTTAATTCAACTTACACATGTATCAGTATTTGAAACTTTTACAGTAAAATTGCGATACTACTTGCGAGGATCCTGGGACTAACTAGATTCCAAGTACCCAATGTTGGTCGTAAAGGCTGATAAACGAGAATTGGGTGGTTGCGAAATATGATAATTTTAAGTAAAGGAATTCATAATTGGTAATTCCAAAGGATCATGGAGGGGGGCAAGGGGGGCCCAGTCGTCTAAGGCGCCGCGATTCGCTGTGCAGAGTTACGTCCCTTGGACACTCAAGAAACCTATGATTGTGGGTTCGAATCCCAGTTCGCCCCGATTATGTTTCTCGGTTTGTCAGCACCATACCCGTGCTCGTGGGTTTCACCAAAGTGGTAAACATCTAAGACCTGCATCACTTCGGGCTTTCCTCCCACATTAAGCTATATGATATAACTGGAATAATGCCAAAAGCGAAGTTAAACCCAACTCACTCATGCCAAAGGATCATGGGCTTGGAATCCCTTTAAAAAAAATTTCAGCCAGATTTTGGAAAACACTCTGATCCATGTGATAACGGATGTGTTTGGTGTGATTGTAGGGCCTCTTCAGCATCAACCTGACTGGCACCGGGCTGACTGTGTCTGAGAACACAACGTGGACCCTTGATGGGAACAAGGCATCGCAGAGAATATGGCGCCTCAGGGTAAGGGTATGGATATCACTAGTGGATAGACTTCTAGGGTGTGACCCTCTTCGAGTGTATAGGAAAACAGTGTCATGCTTGGGTATATAGATACTACTCGTGTACTCTCTTCTAGGGTGCACTGATTTAAGAAATAAACAATGAGTGTTTTTTTCTCCCTGCATTTTTTATTGTACAATAAACAACGACCACGAGTCGTTTGTTTCTTATATGAGATATAGAGAATCTCACCTGAGTGTCTTTTAATATCAAATATATCAACACGAGTTGATAAAAGTGGGAAAACTCCGAGGTTATCAACGAATATTTCTTGTAACTTATAATAGAACAATTTTTCAATAATCTTCTTTTCACTCGGTCACACAATGTACATAAAGGTGAAGGTCATGTTGTTGTTTACAGGATGGAGAGATAATCCGTGGTGTATGTGGGGGGTACTGTGGAGTGTGTTCCCCCGACCCCCGGACAGGCCTCCACTTACAGGTCCTTCACTGAACGTAAGTCACTCACTCACTCCAGCATGATCCATGAACGATTACTCTGATGTTTGACAATTAGAGAATATCACCAACGAGCTACGAGGAATTTTGGATTGTCTGTCCCAAGTGAATGAATGGTGTTATCCCTAGGCTTTAGTGAGGGATTTGCAACGTGCGTTCACGGGGGACACAGGGGACAGAGAGATAATGGAGATTAGATATTTTTATTGGCTAAAGCTGCAAAACCAGATATTTTTTTTTTAAAACTATGAGCCAAAATATTTTTTATGAGAAAAACACATTGCAACAACTGTTTTTGTGGCTGACAATTTCTTTTTTTTTCAACAGTCTAAAGCATAGTTATATTTTTCAAGAATTTTCTGGGACAAATTATGTTTTTCAATAAAAAGAATATCAAATGGTCAGTCACTTAGATTGTCAATCGAGTAGAATTTAGCATTAAGCTATCAAGTTCAGTTTAATTTTTTTGAAAAATAAGAAGCTTACCCTATCTATATTTTGTTGCAGTTAGCTTGGCGACGGTTCAACAACCACACTCTCACTGTAAATATCACCATGTACAAAGTTGCCAGCAAGCATATCTGTACAACATGGACCAAGGTATTTATTGGATGTAAAATATCAGTCTCTCCGTCCACTACACTTGGGGAGTTAACCCTAAAAGGGTTAATAATATGCAGCATTTGGAGGGTTAACTCACATTAGAGCATTGGAGACAGTTACAGGGAGACCACAAGGATATCAATGATGAAAGTGATACCTTAGCCACAGGAAGGCCACACTAGATGAACTGGGATCCTGGTACCTTAGCCACAGGAAGGCCACATGATATCAGCAGTGATCAAGGTACCCCAACCACAGGATATCAACAACGAGCCTGCTACCTCAGCCACAGGAAGGCCACAGTGCCCTGGTACCTCAGCCACAGGAAGGCCACAGTATATGAACAGTGAGCTTGGTGCCACAGCCACAAGAAGGCAACGGGATATCAGTACTGATCCTGGTGCCCTAGCCACAGGAAGGCCACAGGAAGGCCACAGTGCTTCTGGTACCCTAGCCACAGGAGGGACACGGGATATCAGTACTGATCCTGGTGCCCTAGCCACAGGAAGGCCACAGGAAGGCCACAGTGCTTCTGGTACCCTAGCCACAGAAAGGACACGGGATATCAGTACTGATCCTGGTGCCCCAGCCACAGGAAGGCCACAGTGCCCTGGTACCACAGCCACAGGAAGGCCACAGGAAGGCCACAGTGCTTCTGGTACCCTAGCCACAGAAAGGACACGGGATATCAGTACTGATCCTGGTACCCTAGCCACAGGAAGGACACAGTGCCCTGGTACCACAGCCACAGGAAGGCCACAGGATATAAGAACTGATCCTGGTGCCCTAGCCACAGGATATTAGTACTGATCCTGGTTCCCTAGCCACAGGATATTAGTACTGATCCTGGTTCCCTAGCCACAGGATATTAGTAGTGATCCTGGTGCCCTAGCCACAGGATATTAGTAGTGATCCTGGTGCCCTAGCCACAGGATATTAGTAGTGATCCTGGTGCCCTAGCCACAGGATATTAGTACTGATCCTGGTGCCCTAGCCAGGGGATATTAGTACTGATCCTGGTGCCCTAGCCACAGGATATTAGTACTGATCCTGGTGCCCTAGCCAGGGGATATTAGTGCTGATCCTGGTGCCCTAGCCAGGGGATAACAACAATGCTACTGGTATCTGGGAGACGTGAAGGGACCAAGGGCCATGTTGAGATAATGAGGGTCATGTGACCAAAAGGTTTCGGGGTCATATAATGACTGTAAGATGCAGGAAGTCAGATGAAGGAACTTAACCCTGAGATAAACCACAGAATAAGATATCACATGGTTTCAGACAATGAGAGTTAATAGTACAAGGATTGTTTTAGTGTATCCAAGTTAAGGTTGTGTTAAAAGTAACTGTACAATATTTGAACTTCCATGACTGGCTGTTCTGCTTGTGTTACTGCTTGTGTTACTGCTTGTGGTAATGATACTGTCACTGCAGGTTTCACCACAAGTATTATTTTCAGTGTTGCAAGTAAACAGTAATACTACTTGTGTCACCACTAGTATTATTGCTAGTGTCAAACATAATAAGTGGTACTACAAGTATCACCACAAGGACTACTGCTAGTGTCACAAGGAAAGGGTTGGTACTACTTGTGTCACCACTAGTGTTGTTGCTAGTGTCAAACGTAATAAGTGGTACTACTAGTATCACCACAAGGACTACTGCTAGTGTCACAAGGAAAGGGTGGTACTACTTGTGTCACCACTAGTGTTGTTGCTAGTGTCAAACGTATCAAGTGGTACTACTTATTTTACTGTTTGTGTCACAAATCAAAATTGGTACTACATGTACTTGTATTTAAGATGAGAAAAAATTATTGAAAAAAATCTATGAAATTATTCAGATTCTGATATTCACGAAAAAATAAAAAATAGCTAAAATAAAATGTCACATAATCTAGAAACTATGTGATGCTGATTATTTAAGACTTAAAGAATGTTTGCTTGCTAGAATTATGCAATGTTTTCACTATGACTGTTTTGATAAGCAAATAAGATCCAATCTCCATACTGCTTGTATTGTAGTGGATCTATCACAATCCTATTTTAAGCTTTGTTCATTGGAAAGGGATGACCATTTAATATTCTTGTGGAGCCTGGAATTTTTCAGGCAGCGCTTCAAGATATACAATTTATTTCCTCTGAAAATTGGAGTAAAAGACTATTTTTTACCCATAACACATTATACCTTTCAGAACAGCATGTCTAGTGAAATTATTTTTGTGTGTAAAATCTGATGACTAATTATTATTTTCCTGCATTTTCACAAATTTCTTTTTTATAAATCCCAGCGCACCCCGAATATCAAAGAGCATCCCTAAGCATTTTTATGAAGGAGTTTCTGGATTAACCCCTCAAGTGCTACCAATACTCAACCAGTGTTTGTGTTAGCACTCTTAAAGGGTAATAGTCATGCAACAAGTGCAATATCACTCATATTTATGAAAGCATTGATATTGGAACATCATGTGTTTACAGTTGTCAAGGTGGGTTGTCATGTCTTGCAATATTGTGCCGGTTGAATTCTGCAGTGAAACACACAAATAACAAACATGAATTGAACCAACTGAGGAAGTTATGATCTCATCAAAGCCACAACATATTAATTACTTTGAATAATCACTGAAGTTTTGAAGACATTTTTGTTATAGGAATAGGTAAATGTAGATAGTAAATTACCTCCCTTGTCTAAACATGGCCGACAGAGACAGAACATATCCTGAGGCTCATGATATGAAATAAGAAAATAATTAAAAGTTAAAAACTATATAATTAGAGATATTCTGCCAGCTGATGGGATTTTTGGAATGATCTATATAGTTCAATCTTCAAAAACAGATGTTGTCAAGAAGGTAAAAAAATACATGTGACCTCCACATCTGAAGATAAGGCAATTATTTTTGTGACCTAAAGATTTCTTGCTAAGTATCTCATCCAAGTATATTCAAATTTAGTTGATTTCAAACAAACAATCAGGAGTGGACTTGTAACCTAGTGATTAAACCTTTGCCCAGATTACAAGGGCTTGATTGTCGACAATGTTCTAAGTCCATTCTTGGTTTTATTGCCTACTTGCATTTGGAGGATTTGGAACTCATTCTGGTCGTAAGAGGCGACTAAGGGGATCGGGTGGTCAGGCTGATGTATGTCATGATATCTCGATTGTGAAGATAAATGCTCATGATTTCAATCACTGGATTGTCTTGTTCCGACTTGATGATTTACAGACCAAAGTCATATAGCTGCTTGTCCAGACTTGATTATTTTCAGACCTTATACAGTCATATGGCTGGTATATTGCTGAGTGTGGCATTTGACACAACAAACAAGACATTTATATGGCTGTAATATTGTTTGTTCATATTCACTCACTCTTACAAAATCTGCAGCAAACTATAACGATGGATTCGTACCATCCCTAAAAATCCATGATGCCAAGACTCTTTTCATAAGTATTTTCAAAGGATGGATCAGAAAGTGTGTCATTATTCAACAACGGTTTCATAACATGAAGCAGGTCAAACACGAACACTTGATAACCTTCCCTGCAGACAACACTGTTGTTCATGCTAAAGCATAATCATATTTACTTTCACATTTTGTACCTTTTATGTTATCAGGTCAATGTTATAAACATGAGATTTAGTTTTTGAAGCATTCTGTTATATATCTACATGTCAGCATTTATATTCTTTCACATTCTCATTCTCAAGGTTTGAGCTAAACTGTTTTACTTGTGTCATATGTCATGTTTATTTGTATTTGAATGTATTTTACCACGGCCAGACCATTTTTTTCTCATTTAACAGATGACTCTCATTATTTTGAAAAATTACCTAAAAGGATGTTTTTGATCAAAATACTTATTTCGAACAACCTATATTTCAAGAGGTATTTGTTGGAAATTAATCTCAAACCATCAAATCAGCTTATTTTTTTAAGGTTTTATATTTTTTCATATTTGAACCAAATATGTTGATAATAAGAGACACTTAAAAAAATGGTCTGGCTTTACAATATTTGTCAGAGCATAAGTCATGTGTGTCATGAAACAGCATAATGCCACTTCCATCTCATAATGATATATTCCATGTTATCTTCGTCACTATTCATTGATATTCTCATCTGTTTCTCAACATCAATCGATTTGTGAGGAGATGTTTTAGTGGGAGATTACTTCAATTCAATGGCCATAACAATATCAGTCATTCTGGATTAAATACATGTATCAATATTTTGTCCTGATGAATTGATAAGCTTCATTATATATGATCAGATTGAATAATTTCATGTGGCACCATTTTCATGAAATTGATGGAAAATGTAATAGATTCAATTTCTTTATAAGATTCCTATTAATAAAATTAAAAACATTAAACTGGCCTTAAAAAGTGGGCATTTTTACAAAACTCTTATTTGGTCTGCGTGTCCTTGGTTCAGGCAATTGCATTATAAGATGTATATAAGCACATTGTATGTATATTTCAGAGTACAGGTAGGTGGTGAGAAAGTAGCGAACAGTCAGCATTGCATCTGACTATCCAGGGTATTTATCCAGATAGAATGGATATAAAACCCTGGATAACCGAGGATGCCAGCATTGTAATTATGAGTATATGATCTCACAGCTTTAGATGTATTTGTATAAAAACATTCTTAGTATATATTTGTACATTTTAGTGTAACTTAATTATTTCCCATCAAATGGAACCTATTTGGTATTCATCGTTCTTTTGAGAATGGATTTTCTTATCATTATTAGTAATCTTGTCATACTAAATCTGTAAGCTCACCATATCACAGTACCTCATGGGTGACCGTGGCCGGGGACAATTAACTCCTTCATCTGTTTTGTGACCAGTGGCTTGATGCTCACACTATCAACCACTTGTTTGCCTCGTCAAGGTTTAGTTGAAACCTGATGAGTTTGCAGGCTGAGACTTATTTTACTTACCGTATTCGACGTAATAAGCGCCCCGCTCTAATAAGCACCCACGGTGATATTTGCTTATATATTGGCTAGAGAACAATCCCAATTAGCACCCCTTCTGATTGATCAGTGTACACAAGACTTATTTATTCGTGTATAATACACACTCGTATGTTATATGCACCCTAAATTATGGGCAATTAAATTCTCGAAAATATATCTATCGTGTATAATACACACAGATTCTTCTTTTATATCATTTTAGGTTGCAGCACAAACCACGAAATTTGCAATCTTTCAACTCTGTTTTTTATCTCCCCAAAATTATGTTCTAATAAGAGCCCCCTATTTCTAATTTTGAGAGCGCCTGGGTGCCTATTACATCGAATATGGTATTTGAAAACTGTCATGTTGATACTTGAGGGAGAAACCCTTACAAATATCACCACATAGCTATAGATGGCACAGTGGGTAGTGTGCTGTTCTGATCAGGTTTTACATCCAATCTTTAGCATCTCTTAAGACGTCTTCATCTTGCCCTGATAGGTGTAACTAGATCCTAATTGATCGTAGGATTGATCATAGACTTGTCAAACTTTTTTCACCTGTAATTTTGCAAAATATAAATGGTATGTTTCGATTCAAGTTATCCAGATTGGTTGCTTTCTGGACTAAGAAAACCAACAAATCCTCCTGACATGTACAATGCCAGTGGAATCTATTAGAAAGAGTCTGTCTAAAACATATTTGACAAACAATTATTGGTCCGAAAACTTCTGCCAGTATCATATTCAAAAAAGGAGTTTTATCTGAAAAAATACAGCTATTGTAAATTCATTCCTTATTTGTCCGATTATTACATTAAAACAGTTGAAATACCACATATGTACATGTATATGAAAAAATGGTTTAAATGACTTAGCATTTTTATAGATTGTCGAGTGATATAGCATATTCACGTTTACTTGTATTAATTTCAGTTTTTTGTCTCAGGAAACAGGCATTCTTGATCCCAATTAAGACCACATGAGTATTCTAAAGACTTGTGATCACGTAATGTCATCAATTGTTCGACAAAATGTAAAATTTAAGAAATAAATGGGAATTACTTTTTAAATCCATTTTGATAGGAAATGATGAATAATGACCAGGACATACACAAAATAAGGTTTCAATGTACAACGTATAGCTAATTGTATAATAACTTGTACTTTGCTAATGGTCTAGCTATGCCTGTACAGTGTATAGAACAACTGAGTCTGTATAGCTGACTCAGCAGGTTTGTTATTAACAAACAGAAATGTGTATACCTTGGTTTGGTATGATGAAAATGTTTGAGGTATGTAAATATTGCTCATGTGATAATGTTGTAAGATATAGCTCGTGTTTTTTTGTGAAATGATACTGTAAATATTTGGTAATTCCTGTTGTAATTCTTTTTGAAAGGTCGCAAAAACAACTACAGATGTTTTATAGTATATCTATAATGAAAGTTGTTTATTGTAATGGGCCTGTTTCCACTAAAATCTGATTACATTTAGACTATTAACTTAGAAAATATAAGGTTAAGTTTAAGTTCATGGGCTTTAAATATTATTTGGTGCCAATTTCATTTTATTGTTGTGATACAAATTTGGGCGAGGTTAATTCAGTTCACAAGGATAAAAAATTGACAAGAAATTGATCATGACAAATATACAATCTGTAAAATGGCCATCAGGCTATGGGTTTTCAAAATACTGTAAACCTGGAAAGTTTTGCGAGCAGGAAACTGTGAGTGACACACACTCGGGATTGTTTCATGACGCAGTTATTTTTGCAGACCAACAACAAACAAAAGAAGTAAGAAAGTATGTTTCTTGAATTCACCTCAGCCGTGAGTGAGTTGGGTTTAAAGCCGCTTTTAACATTATTCCAGTTATATCACGGCGTGTCAGCTTAATGTGGGAGGAAAGCCCGAAGTGATGCAGGTCTCAGGCGTTTACCACTTCGGTAAAACCCACGAGCACGGGTATGCTGCTGACAAACCTAAAAACATAATCGGGGCGAACCGGGATTCCAACCCACAATCATAGGTTTCTGGCGTGCTCAAGGGATGCAACTCTGCACAGCAAATCGCAGCACCTTAGACGACTGGGCCACCCATGCCCCCTCACTTCAACAAGTTGTCAAACCAGCCTATACACACTATTACAACCTTACTTGTCCACTGCAAGAGTAGCTTTGATATTTAGTAATGTTAACAGGGAGTCGCTAAAACTTTCCAGACGCAGTTAAGGCTATTGTCATCCATTCGCACCCACTTCCCAGATTTACAGTATTATTGTTCCAGTGCTTATAGATATTGTAATTAACCATATATTTGTTAGACTTGTTCTATGGTTGGTGCTGTATCCATAGCAGAGTGTATAATATGTGGCATAATTGAACGATCCCAACCGGACATGACCCCATACTTGCGATGATGTCATTGACACATTACCTCATTGCCACTAGGATGTGATATCATCAATATATGTTGCCTGTCTTATTTTCCTGGTTCGTTTTTCCACTTTGGAAAATGTTAGGTTCCGTTTTAGGATGGTGATATTTATTCACCATGTTCTTCATCACTGCTTGTTTGTGGGAAAGACAGGAATAGGCCACATATCTGAATAGCCAACACGGATACAAGTCCTACCATGGATCCGAATCTTACATATTACATATTAAAAAAACCTTAAAATATAACAGTTAAGTGCAGTTAATCAAACCACAACAGTTGTACTTAATGTATGACATGAAGTATTAAACCAAAGTGTCCATGTCCTCGATTACCTCTGATGTGAGTGTGTGTGTGTGTGTGTGTGTGTGTGTGTGTGTGGTTGTATGTATATCCAGATTGCTCACTGCCAGGCTGCCCTGCCCTGCCCTGCCCTGCCCTGCCCTGCCCTGCCCTGCCCCGCCCCGCCCCGCCCCGCCCCGCCCCGCCCCGCCCTGCCCTGCCCTGCCCTGCCCTGCCCCGCCCCGCCCCACCCCGCCCTGCCCTGGTGTTATTAGAGCATCAGTCATCTTTTGTAAAGACATGACAACAATATACAAACTAATATGGGATTTTTCTTACTTTGATTAATACCTCAATTAAGAGGTCTTTAGTTGGCAAAGCCTATTGGGGGCATGTAAGCTGTCACAATATTAGTCAAACACACCATTGCAATGCTGTTGCAATAGTAACAGCAATAGTATTGAAATGGTATAATAAATTTCTTTATCTTCCAACAATAATCTTCTGGCAGTGTTCACTGTTATTCCTCGTCCTAACATATCGTCCATTTCCTTGTTCAGAAGATTGCGAAGGGAAGATGTTGAGTTAAAGGCCATCGTGTACTCATCCCAACGCTCTTTAATCCCCAGCATCATCATTCTATTTTAAGCCCCTTGGTTCTTGTTCACATTTGTCCTCACAAGCAATTATAACACTGGCATATGTTCAGAAAGGAAATTCCTTTTTATGTATTTAGGTCACATGTTACTTTAGGTGTTCCAGCTTTTGAGTATCACTCGAGGACTTCCTTTAATTGTGATCATGTGATGAACAATTTAGCATTTTCTGAAAGAAGAACCTTGTTACTTTGAATATGGTTGTCAGGTTTTTTTTCACTCGTATTGCATCCTCTGAAACTGTTGATACTCTAGTGTGGTGTTGTCATCGATAGGTTGCAACACGGCCATGAACAATGCATTGATAGTTGGGTGATTCGGGGGATTTATGGGATGGCATAGGGGTCTTGAAATCAATAGTGTGATGAAGGTTCTATGGTGGAAATAGTAAGCATATATATAAAGGTTGTACTTCAACTGTGATATTTCTTTTTGCATAATCGATACAGGTCATGCAAAATAGTTTGGTTGACTTCATACCTTCTCACAGGGGAATTACAGCCCATCCAGTGAAATACCTCAATACATGGTAGGCCATTCTCAGGTTGTAGCGGCTCTATCCAAATGAAGTTTGTATCTTCCTTTTAAATCCAATGTGTCCTCAAATGGACATCTGTCCTAGGAGGGACACAACCCATACCAAATCAATGTAGGTAAAAGCTTTTGGCTGTGTGCACTGCTTTTCATGTAGTTTCATAAAATGCTTATTCATAATTATTTTACCTTGGAGTGTCCTCATAGAAATGGAACTTAAATTCATTTGAGACAAATTTACATGTAAGGTCGAAAAAAATTAATTTTCACCCCATCCCCGAGGCCCGGGGCAGCAGAGACCAGATAATAGAGGGACGGCCTTCTAGCCAATGCTATTATATGGTCTCTGGTGGCAGGTAGATTTTGTGTCAGGGCCCATAGTTTCAAATTTGTGGAGGGCCTTATGGCCTTCAGTAAATTTGTGTCTCAATTTATTTGTCCAATAAGTTGTAGTGATATTAGGGCCTGCAGCTTCTAAAGTCTGTGGGTCCTGATGGCAGCCCAACGATTTTCTTTTTTTTTAACACTGCATGAAAAGGGCAGGTAACTCTAATCATATATCATAGGCATAACTACATGTATTTCTATCAAAGATCAAACCTGATTTGTGTGTTCTTTTCCATACCATGGCCCTACAGTTGTTTCCTTGTTTTACAAAGAGCTCTACTCAAATTGTACCTCATTTTTTCAGATAAACATTATTCTGTATCTTAAGCATAAACTAAAAACTTGTAAAACAAGAAAAAGATTGTTCCGGCCTTAAGGATGAAATAAACTTGCATCATCACATTGATTTTGCTCAAACCAAAATATGAGAAACAAAGATTGTTTTCCTTATTTTCTAGGCCTAAGAAAAACCTATGTTAACAATGAGAGGCCAATAGGTTTTGTGGTTGGATCGCCTGGGAAGAAAATATAATGATGACTTTATGGTGGTCAACCATCAGTGTTTCGTGTACATCACTGTGTTTCTATATTGATGTTGAACTGGTCATGTAAAGTGCATTTAACTATTATAATATGTACATATTGATTGATACGTTTTGTATGAATGTGTTTTTTTTATACTTTTCATAATCATTGTGATGTTTTGTTGACTTACATTTTGTATATATTAGGCAAAAATGCCACTAACAGTGATTTTTGATAATTTGAAATAAGTGAAATAAAGAAAAATACATTTGTACTTTTTGCTGTTTGTCATTTAAAGTTTTCGTATAGCAGCAGAAACGAACCCACTACATGTGAGACAATTTACATATAAACATTACCTGTATGCTGATTGGTGGGTGTTGCTGTTACATTGTAACATTACGTGATTGCAGATTGGTGGGTGTTGCTGTTACATTGTAACATTACGTGTATGCTGATTTGTGGGTGTTGCTGTTACATTGTAACATTACGTGTATGCTGATTGGTGGGTGTTGCTGTTACATTGTAACATTACGTGTATGCTGATTGGTGGGTGTTGCTGTTACATTGTAACATTACGTGTATGCTGATTTGTGGGTCTTGCTGTTACATTGTAACATTACGTGTATGCTGATTGGTGGGTGTTGCTGTTGCATTGTAACATTACGTCATCATTATGTCATGACGGGACATTTCTCTGTAGTGCCATAGGCCATGACGGGACATTTCTCTGTAATGCCATACACCATGACATGACATTTCTTTGGAGTGCAATAAGCCATGACATGACATTTAACTGGACGTGTTTCTCATATAAATCATGCCATGTGATATTTCACTGTCATTCCATACACCATGGAGTACCATATGCCATGACATGACATTTCTCTAGAGTGCCATAGGCCATGACATGACATTTCCCTGGAGTGCCATAGGTCATGACATGATATTTCTCTGGAGTGCCATAGGTTGTGACATGATATTTCTCTGGAGCGCCATAGGCCATGACATGATATTTCTCTAGAGTGCCATAGGCCATGACATGACATTTCTCTGGAGTGCCATAGGTCATGACATGATATTTCTCTGGAGTGCCATAGGTTGTGACATGATATTTCTCTGGAGTGCCATAGGCCATGACATGATATTTCTCTAGTGTGCCATAGGTCGTGACATGATATTTCTCTGGAGTGCCATAGGTTGTGACATGATATTTCTCTGGAGTGCCATAGGCCATGACATGATATTTCTCGGGAGTGCCATAGGTCGTGACATGATATTTCTCTGGAGTGCCATAGGTCGTGACATGACATTTCTCTAGAGTGCCATAGGTCATGACATGAAATTTCTCGGGAGTGCCATAGGTCGTGACATGATATTTCTCTGGAGTGCCATAGGTCGTGACATGACATTTCTCTGTTAGCCATAGGGCATGACATGACATTTCTCTCTTAGCCATAGGGCATGACATGGCGTTTCTCTGGAGTGCCATAGGTTGTGACATGACATCCGGAGTGACATGGCAGAACCTGGATGTTGTGATTCCTGAAAAAGACCGTTGTCAGTCTTGCGTTGTCTTGTTGGAAAATGGCGTTCACTTGTTGTATAATGGGAAGGACATTAAATACACGTGACCGAAGAATCTCATCCCTGTAACATTTTGTCGTTATATTCCCCAGAACTTGCACCAAGTCTGTTCTACCAGGGTAGGAGATGGCTGCCCACATCATCACACCACCACCAAATCTGTCCTGTAAATTGCGACGTCTACCATCCGCACGGCGAAGTATAATACGTGAATGGTCCATCCGTGAAGATCCGGGGTAGAATTGATCTTCAGCAACCCATTCTTGACGTAAAAGGCGACTATGCTTGTCGTAAGAGGCGACTAACGGGATCGGGAGGTCAGGCAAACTGACCTGGTTAATGCATGTCATCGTATCCCAATTGCGTGGATCGATGTTCATTATGCCAATCACTGGATTGTCTGGTCGAGACTCGATTATTTACAGACCGCCGTCAAATAGCTTGAATATTGCTGAGTGCGGCGTTAAACAACAAACAAACAAACAAACAAACATAATACAAAACAGGAAGTAGTAATAATTTTGTATAAACCTGAGTTATAACTATGGGACTTCCTGGAGCCACATTAAGATCTAAATAACAGCCCACCCCCTCAATGCACTTGTGGCATCTTTTGAGTCACGTGATGGAACTGTACCCGCTTGATATGTTAGCTTGTATTTAAATCCTACTTATTGCTCCATGGAAATATATGGATACTAACACACTGGTTTTGACATATAGCTGATTCAACCATAAACTACCCATATTAGTGATGGTTTATTTTGTTTAAAGCGTACGTTCTCTCTTAACGTAACGGTGCAGGCAACTTGGTGGAACAGCACGTCAGTGTAGCCCTGTTCCATGATTTTCAATTTACGGCGCCGCTTATTTTTACAAATTTGATATTAAACCCATCTCCAATAAAACCCAAGGTTAGTCTTAAATTCGTCACCTAAAAAATAAACAAGTTCCTCTACGCCGTTGTGTAGTGCTTAAACTATAATAGTTCAGGAAAATACAATACTTTATAACATAACACTTCGGATACAGCAAACTCTGTTTCTTCACTCATTTTTTCACTGGCGTCAAACAACACTCGCCATTCTTGAAAAAAACACCTTTCTTATCAGGTCACGTGATGTGAGAAATATTCTTTTTGGCAGGAAAAGATAAATATAACCGCACTCAGCTCGAAACGTAAAACAGGCATTCATCCTTTTTAAACTCTGCAAATTGAATTTTAAAGGTGAAGCGCAGATAAGACATAGGTGCCGTTGTACAAAGCGATCTTAGCGCTGAGGTGATCGTAACTCCCATACCTTAACATAGACTTACGACAGTCGCAACGCTAAGGTTTATTTGTAAAACGGCAGCCTTGTCAAATTGGCATTACTTGTCGGTTTGGTTCAAGTTTTTCAAACAACACTGTTTGTTTGATCAAATTTTATATTGCCTATATCTATCTAAGAGTTCGTTCGTCACGCCGAAGACCCGGGCTTGATTCCCCATATGGGTACAGTGTGTGAAGCCTATTTCTGGTGTCCCCCGCCGTGATATTGTTGAAATATTGCTAAAACCGGCGTAACACCATACTCACTCACTTCGAGTCATGGACGTGCATATGCATGGGGATATTTTGATTTTCGTGTCTAAACATTCAAGGGGAGACTAGACCTGGTCAGATTGGCAGTCCTTGTCGGTTTGGTTGAAGTTTTTCAAACATAACTCTGTTTGCTTGATCGAATTGTATGTAGCCTATATCTATCTAAGAGTTCATGAGTACCCTAATTGTCCCAGTCTCATACAAGGCACTAATTACTACGTCTATACCTGGACTGAAAAATAAGCGCTAGTCGTGGAGCACAAGCCCCCTTTTATTCTTAAAATATATCTAAATATCTAAAGACTCGGTAACGGTAAAACAGTCACAAACAACGAAGGGAGACTACTCTCGATCATTCACGTTTTCATGAAACTTATAATATAAGTAAGCGAAGTGATCGTAAAATAACCAGTGTTCCAACATCAACTTCGTAGCTATGGCAACCCATGTTAATCTGTTAACTTCGGGTTTGCCATCACAGACGGCTTGTAGAATACTCTCGGCTAGAAGACAGCAACACAGCGGGATAGGGCAAATGACCCCCTAAATATCTTCATTTGTTGATTAGTTTACTCTGTGTAACAACTTCAAGATATCTTAAGACCAGACTCGGTTCAGCTGCCTCTCCTGCTGTCTTGCTGTCATCTTGTCGTTATTAGATCCAAGGAAGGAAGGAAAACAGACTCTTGTGTATACCATTCATCAATATTTATTTAGATATAATCAAGAAATAGAATGGCATGTGCCAAAAGAAAGTATCTGAATCAGGACCAAAAAGTAAGAACAGTCCTCTGATTAGAAGACAAATAACCTCGAAATGTTAGCCAAAGGGTATGCCAAAACATACTAGATCGAAAGAGTGAGTCCAAACATAAGCCAAAAGGATGCAGCCAAAATAGACCAAAAGGGGGAATAGTTTATTAGACGAGCACCAAAACACATCCTCTCCAACAAAATCACTTACACCCGAACATGCACGCAAAACACATCTTCATCACCCATACACACTCACACACAATCACACATGCAAAACACATCCTCTCACATGCACACACAATCACACATGCAAAACACATCCTCTCACATGCACACACAATCACACATGCAAAACACACCCTCTCACATGCATAATACACAATCACACAATCATGCAAAACAAACCCTATCACATGCACACACAATCACACAATCATGCAAAACACATCTCGCATGCACACTCATGCAATCGCACATGCAAAATCCATCCCCTCAAAAAAAAACACTTCCATCCAAACACTCATGCAAAACTAATCCTCTCACATGCCAATCCAATCAGACAAAACGCACCCTCACACACATACACACTTACATCCAATCACACATGCAAAAAACACCCTATCGCACGCGCACGCGCACGCACACACACAGACACGCACGCACGCACGCACGCACGCACGCACGCACAAGCAAACTGGATGAGAAATCTACGAGAAGATTCTCCTCCAGAAGGCAGCCACTCTCCTCAGTGCCTTCCTCAGAGGATGAACCTCTCGGTCCTCCACGAAGCTGTCGTCGTCCTCGTCCTCATAGACCCAGTAGTCACTGTCGTCGTCACTAGGGGCAGGATAATAATCGACGTAGGTGATGGTGACTGGGGCTGGGAGTGTCTCACTGTGGTCAGGGCGGGCCCAGAACGGGATGAAAACACTCAGAGGATTGGGAACGGGGGTCGGGGACGCAGCCTGGGGACGCTACATCAGTGATGGGGGAGGGAGGGAGAAAGGAGGGTCATTGGGCGAGGTTTTAAGGAGGTTTTCAAAGACAAATTGCAAGAGAAAGTCAGAGTGCAATGCCCCTGGTTACACATGCTAGGAGACGGTAGCCCACGACAAACAAGTTGATAGACTGTTAGAAAGAAATGTTATTGTGTAAATGGGAGAGGGGTACCCCGGGACTCATTTTCAGCACACATAACGGTGGAAATATAATATAATGTCACTAGTATGCGTAAGAGGACATCGATACAAGGACAGAAGAAGCAAGCAATTCGGTTGAATCTGAAGAACAGGTAGATAAGATACATACACAGTCGGATTCCTCATCCAGCGACGGCCACAAACTCGCAGCAGGAGTGACATGATACCGGATCATATCTTCCCGTGCTGAAAATCACCAAAACAACACATTTAAATGCACTCCACATACATGGCGTGTACAATGGAAGCAAAACTATTTGGGGGCCGTCTGATGGATAGCGAGACAAGCAGATTCCGATAATATAGACCCTAGGGTTTATAGAGACCTTTTGGGGACACGTATAGGCCACGAGAATGCGTTCAAGGAAATAAAACGGGCATTTAATCGTTGTGTTGGTACACAGTGCATCTTTCAGTAATAGGCCGCACGTTTGAAAGAGAAGTTTACAAATATAAATGTACAAAAGTTAAGTCTTATATATATGAAAAAAACATCTGTAGTAATTTAACAACATCGTCCGCCATATGTAAATACCAACAGCTCTTATTTCAGTCGAGCCAAAAATTTTTGACAAGATACAGATTTCTAAATTTTCACAAATTGCAAATGGCGGCCAGAGTCATCCCCACCGATCTGCTGGTGAACAACGGCCAATTTCAGTGTATATCTACATACTAACACTTTAAAATACAATAACTGTCTTCTTAAATACCTTGAATATGCAGCCTAGTAAACATCTTGTTAGTAGAAGTCCTCGAAACCATGTTGTAGTCAACGAAATGCAGGGCGATAGCAAGCAAGAGCGATAGTGAGTCTGTTAAAAACAGAAGGGGACGTTGGCAACGACAACGGTTACTATGTTATGGAGACGAAGTCAGAACGAGGCGTCATCGTCCATTTCCGGCAACGTCAAACAGCCAGGTGTAGCTGCATACCATGGAGCCAAACACTTGGCGACGTTTAGGTTTCAAAGCTTTGCCTATATACTCAAACGCCGGATATATGGTAGTTCACCACCAAGTCGTACCTGTTAGCTGTTAAAAACATACAATTCACTCTCTAACGCCGTGTTAAGATTTGTACCAATAAGAAAAGTTTAGGATTCGTTTTCAGTTGGAAAGATCTGTGCCTTCCGATTCCTTTTTTTTCGCTATTTCATAGATGTTTATATAAGAAACAGACGTTGCAGCCTATACAATTGCAGTCCCGATTAAAATGGCCAATTATAGTTCGTTATTAACGGTATTTACATGATGCTGAAATATAGCAGATAAGATTTCTGGACGGGGCCTTTGATTGTGATAAAGACTGGAAGAAAGTCCTTAACTGTC